CGTTTCACCATGCAAATGTTCTTGGCTGCCCTACTGGCTTCTTTGTAGTTCTAGGCCTGGTCTGTGCGTACTCGTCATCTTCTCTCTGCTGCCTTTCCAGACGTTTCTGTTCCTCCTCCAGCACCTGGCCAGTCAAATAATTCATGGTTAAGTTCCTCTCCTGCATGGACTCTAAACTGGTCACTATGATGTCCCATGAAGTATCCAATGAACTGAGCGCTACATATACCTTGTGTGCCTCAGTGAAAGACATTCCATTTTCTTCTAATTCTAAGAATGTCTTTCTCATGGACTGCAAATGCATAGACATGCTCTCACCTGATTTCAGTTGGGCCTTATATAGCTTTCTTGTCAGCATTACTTTGCTGCTCGCAGTCTCTCTCACGTACATATTGCGCAAAGCTTCCCAGCACTCTTTAGCAGACTGGAGACCTCTCACATGTATCAGCTGGCTATCCTCCAAACTCAGGATTATGCTGGCCAATGCTTTCTCATTCTTTCTCCGGTCCCAATCATCCACGGCTGCAGATGGATCAGTAACTATCATCCACAACTCCTCCCTTCGCAGGTACATCTCCATTTTTAGACACCAGGAGAGGTAGTTTGTCTCATTCAGACGAGATACTATGAAACTCCTCCCATTACGCTAATGGAGTCCATGTTGCCTGCTACCACCACAAACCTTAACTCCTCTGGCTCTGGGTCAAGCTCTCACTGGGTTTCTCCTCTCTCTGGGCCCATAACCTGTCAGAGTGTGCACAAACTTATTGCGTTGAGATAACCCAGGAGTGAACACAGTAAACAGTGGTTTGTATTCAATGGTGGTTTATCTTACACTATCTACTTTATCATACACCAGGAACAATATACATACACGTGCTAATTCAGGAGGATCCAACAAACCACAATTACAGCAGGAAATGGAAGAGAGAGAACACATCAGCAGAGTCTTCCTTTAAATGCTCTTAAAGAGACACAAATCCTGCTGAGTCATTCTCATCATATCTTACATCTTATATTATATAAGCTGATTAGCTATTAAATCAATATCTTGACACTATTCCACATATGAAAAAGGAAGTTTCATAAATATTACCCATTAAATATAAAGATTGCTATTCCCTCTGTATCATTATGGAAATTTTCTCTGCAGGATTATGGGTCTGTCCAGAATAATGTGGATGGTAAAAAAAAAAGAGAGAGAATATTGAAAATGGGTCTCTTTCCCTGCTTTTGAATCCCAGTTCTTTTATTGCCTGCAGATAACATTTCTGTTAAGCAAATAGGCTTTGTACACACCAAAGCTACAAATAACTGACGAAACTCAGCAAAGCAACAGTATTGCTTCCAATTTGTGGCTTAAGTGATATTTAAGTTAAAATATAGCTAGAAGCCAGATACTATAATTTATGTCAAGCACAAGAGAATAATTTGATTTAATTACTTAGCAGAATAGAAGGCAGGGTTTTTAAATAACCTAATGCTAAAAGATTAGTATCTAAACTGTTTGCTAAACCAGTTCCAGAGATAAAATATGGGGAGATATTCACCACTTGGGACTAGGAAACTCTACCATTTTTTGCTAGCACACTATACATTACAAATAATGTCAACTGTGGTACATGTAAGGCAGACATTACTATTGTAAATTGAAGAGAACTGGGAGACAGAGGCTATGGTTTCATCTCCATACCTAAAAGACACTTACTATTTTATGGGAGATGTTATTAATCAAGGAAAACTGCAAACCAAGCATGCTGATAAACAGCTAAAGGAGATGGGGAAAAAGTATTGGTAGCAAGAAAAAAAAAATGAAATTGTGGGAAACCAGAACATTTGAAAATCCACTATCAGAAATAGAAGGGCAGTTAACTGAAAAACAGACAGGAAAAGTTCAAATGTAATTTTTTTTTCTTCCTATACCAAAACACTATTGCTGGCTGAAAGAAATGGAAGCAACTGAAGGCTTTGATTGTATTGAAGACTTCTCTTGTTGAGATCACTCTGGGTACACATGATTTGATGAGTTCTATTAATATCTTGAAGGCACCTTCCATATCTGTACTTTTGGTCAGAATTTATCTTTGTAAGAACTGGGAAGATCCATGAGACTTAAGTATTGATGATAACTCACATCAATATTTACTCAGCTCACATGGTAATTTGAAAGTTGATTGGAAATTACTTTAGTGGAAATAGTTAAGATGGACAAAGACAACTCAAGAATCTGGAAAAGATTGCAATATACAGTGGCTCTGAGTCTAGCAGCCAATCTGTTCACTGCAGGAAATATAACCATCTCTGTCTCTCCCCCCTCCCCCCCACAGACACAGAGAGAACAGCAATTCAATATAATTTAAGTACAGCTGCTTTTCTCTGTTTTTCTATTATTATCCAGTGCTGCATATACAGAATTGTACCATAATCATTCATGACCATACCTATTTTTGAAGATGTTATAAATATCCCTTCTTCTGGATTATGAAAAACACGAAGATAACAAAAAATAGAACCATAAAAACAATTAAACTTTCTTAAGTAGATTTCTGAATTCAAGACATACCTATCTATTCAGAAGTACATTTAACTGATTTTGTTTGAAACTTTCAGGAACATTTGTAAAGTAATAATATAACCCCCTATTTTTTTAGTAATAGGCCAAATAAACATTTTGAATTGATTCTTAATCCAATCAAGCCATCAGAAAGAAACTCCACTTTAAAGGTTTTTTTTAATGCATTAGTAAATGAATAAGGAAGAACTAATGGAGAATCTTTTTAACTGCATGCAAATAAGATTCAGTGAAATCCTATCTTGGAAGAATTTCTCAATTCATACTGTCAATATTACCAAAAAGTCCGCATCTAATTTGACTCAGGAATCACCTGCGTATTCTGAAATCCTTGAGTATAGCCTCTAAAGCTCCTCCCAAAATTATTTCACAATGATGGGATTGTGTTTAGTTGTTTTAATTTGTACTTATTTATAGATTTTGATCTGGTTCCACCTGCAGTTTAAATGCAGCCATACAGAAATAAAGCATGAAAAACTTTGTGCCCTTTTGATGTATTTATACTTTCTTAAACCTAAGATTTTTTGTATTCAGTATATTTTCTTCCCTATATTGCCTTTCAATTTTACATTTCTACAACATATGAAACTATAAATTAGTTTTTTTCCTTGTATAATTTCATTCTCTTTATCCAACTCATATTTTCTACTTCTTTAGAGATACTGCAAGATTAACATATTCTAGCCAATGCTTATTCACTTTTGGTCCTGTTAAGTATATCATGATAGCATTTAATTACCAGAGTTGAATTTCTACCATGACTCATTATATTAATGTCTTCCTAGGCCCAGAAAGATACTCAACACAGAGTGCAGCATCATATTAGTGAGAGTTGTACAAGACAAGCTGTTGTATAAGCAGTGTTACTCAACAACAAGCTGTTTCTTCATGATTTCCAGAATTCCTTTTATATAGAGTATTAGTTTACAAAATTAGCCTTAAAGCCTGTGTGGCAACAAATAAACAATTAACTACTGATGGTACAATCAATCCTATTTCCATGAAGAAAATCTATATCCCAACAACCTGAATGTGGGAGTTCAGAAATGATATACTAAAGGGAAAAAAAAAAATTATATCATATTTTATGCATGAAGGCAAATATACATGTGCCAGGATATTGTTGCAGGATCTAATCTGGGTTTGTCACCAGGACCAGTGATTTAGTCTTCCGAGCTTTTGGACTTGTGCTGGAGCCCATCCTCAGGGAACTTCTATCACCAGAATGATCGAAAGAATAAACCTCTGCTCCTGGTAACCGACCCAGATTGGATCCTATGTTTTAATCCACACTTAATTACCATTATTTTAATTTTCATCATACAAGTATTGCACCTTCTCTCCTCTGAATATTTTAAATCTTTCTGAACATCTGAACATATGGCATAAGCATGACAAATAAGCTATGTAAATACAAGTGGAATTTCATATATGAACACACGTTTGACAAATTGTCAAAGGCACATTTTACGTCCTTTCAATGAAACTTCTTTCCAAAGAATGTGCAGCACAACATTTCTTAATAAAGGCCTTGGAAATTCTGGCACTGTGACTCCACCTGGGATTTCCAATTTAGGTTGATGATGAATCATCAATCATTTTAGAGAAAACTTAGCAAGGCAAAGTGGATTTGGGCTCCAATTTTGGGAGTGGGGGATTGTCTCCAAAAAATCACCAGTGTGGACATCAGGCATTGCCTGGACATAGTTTTCTTGGCAAAATTTCAAAAGTGGTTCAACACCGTCTTTTCTGGAGGGCTGAGTGTTGGCCACCATGTATTACAGGTATTACAAAACCCATCCTCTCAAGAATGATTGAACCAGTTGGCTTAATGTCTAAAGCAGTACAAGAATCCATGTTCTCCTGGTCTCTAGCCAGGTGCCTGTAATCACTACCCAAAAGTTTTCTTTGCCCAATTATTACTTTGGAGCCTTCACCAAGAGGTTAACCCAGACGCCCTATTATGTCACTCCTGTCTTCCGGCCTGCCCCGATTTCCCTGGCGCGAAAGCATGGAAGAAGCCACAGAGAGGAAGGTCTAGCTTGCGCCATGCCCAGTGGTGGGATTCAGCCAGTTGTCACCAGTTCGGCAGAACCGGTAACTAATTTTTTCTTGCCCAGGCCCGGAATGGACTTCCGGAAGCGGCATCCACACAGAGAACCGGTTGTTCGCATATTTGAATGCCACCACTGGCCATACTCCATTCCTCCAGATAGCGGAAGAGGCTGTTCAACGCCTCCAGAAGGGAAGAGCTCACTGACCAGCAAGAAACGGGAAATGGCAACGGAAGCGTGTGCATGTGTCTCTCTATACGAGGAATCCCCGACTGACCCGACACAAGCAGAAACCGAAACGGCGGCAAGAGGGTCCCACAGCGAGAAAGGATCGTTGCCACGGTAACTCCTGCTTCCTCTCTCCCCCCCCTCACCTTCCTGCAGAAGGGGCAGTAGCTCTTGCTGAAGATCATCACCCAGTGGGTGCTGATTAGGCTTCGGACGCGGAGCTTCACCGCATCTAGGTCTGGGAGACGGACTTGACCCGGAGGCGGCATGGCGGGCCCTCGTCTATCCCCGACGGAGGCCGAAGAAACAACAGCAACAGCAGCAGCGGACGCCGGCAGATCTCAACTATGCGGTCACCTCCGTCCAGGCGCTCAGTTTCACTCTCGTGCATGCGCGGCCCGGTCCGCGGGAGCCCGGCCCTTAACCCCGCCTCTCGCCCGCCTCCTCCTTGTCCAATAAGAAAGGGGAGGGGGAAGGTGAAGTTTACTTGGCGCTTTTCGGGGGGGAGGGGAGGTTGCGAGGGCAAAATCGCCGAAGACGAAACCGGAGAGGGCGGGCCCACCACACAAGAGCGACCAGACAGAAAGCGAAACGGATTATGATGGAGTTGGTAATTTGCGCCGCCCCTTCCGGCCTCTGAGGCGCGTGAAACAAGGTTTCAGCGCCCCATCGAGTAACTAGTGGGACAACATTTGGGTTCTATTTGGGAACTTAATTGACATATGCCTATTTTCAAGTATCCGAAAAAAGTCCTGCAACTATTATGTCCATGTACAGTGCAAACGTTTTTTGTATTGCAAATAGTAATGTAATGCAGTATAGGAAACATGGGAGATTTTTATTTGATTATGAAAAGATCCTTTGCACTTGGTCTCTGGAGTATAGAAAAATGCAAGCTTTCAGTATGAAGTATGAAGAAATGTCTTTTTTTGGTAGATGCCTGGTTGCAGGATATTTCCAGATTATTCTGTATCCACAATAATTGCTATTGTACATTCCTTAATGACTTTGAGCAGTTTTCAATAACTGTCTACAAACCAAAATACCACTATCGAATAAGTGGGATGATTGAAGGAAGGTCTGGATTAAGGAAGTTTGTTCTACTGAGAAAGTTTATGAATCCAAGCTTCGTTCTGCATACTAACTTTGGGCTTATCATTTATCCGGTTAAAAAAAAAATCCTAGAATAATTCTAAAGATTAGGAAATGCAGAAGTTAAATTTAAATTAAAACTGAAGTACAGGACAGGAGAGTGATTGGAATATGAGAGGAAAGACAGTCTAAATAGAAATTTCAGACTAAAACATACAAAAAAAATTCCCCATGTGCTGGAAACATTTATTATCTCCCGATTATGGGAGAGCTGCAGTAAGGCCAGCTTTGAGAAAAGAATACTAATGCCTTCACTTTAGTAGTGGTAGCACTAGAAATAGAACCTTAAGGGTCTCCGTAGGTTACTGGGAGTACAGGATACCTCTAAAAGTCAAGATGAAAAGAAAAGATCACACGATATAGAGTGTGCAAATTGCTATGAAGGAAGTGATAGTCAAAAGGGGAGGAGAGTTTAAAAAAAAAAAGCCAAGATGGAGGGCTTGCCTGTACAATCAAAGTCCTACCCATCTTCTCTATGTGCATCAGCCTCATGCATACACATATTCATGCTCAGGTCTTTGATCACACATTTGCAACCACCAAGATGGCTTTTTGACTCTCTTTCTCCCTCCCCTAACGTGTACAAAGGACAAGAGCCTATTTCAAGCAGAAACAGGCATAAGGTCTTAGGATGAAGGTTACATACAATGCATCCCAGAACTGATAAATTAGTGTGAGTACAAAATATGCAAAAAAATGATGACTAAACACAAAGCATCTCCATCTTAATGATGGGCAATTGTTTTCTGTTTACTTTTCATTGGATAAGTTGACATTATATTAACTATTCTAATATCCATTGCTGTGTGCTTAGTTGGCTGAATTATTTCCTGCTGTTTATTAGTATGAGTCTCTTCTTTCAGTCACTCTTTACTCATTCTTTTTTTTATTTCACTGTTCGCTCATTATGCCAAGCCTGTATCACACATTGAAAACTGATCAACCCCACAGCCAAGACCTACCTTTGCCAGAATGCCTGGTACCCTAAGATATCACATTTCCAGGGTGGTTGTTGAATTAAGAGGCAATCCCCCCCCTCTGCGTACATCCTGTTCCCTCCTTTTAACTATATCTTGATTACGATTTTTATTTTTATTCTTTTAACAAAATAACAGTTGGAAGGATCCTAGGAGGTCTTCTAGTCTAACCCCCTGCTCAAGCAGCAAATCATATACCATTTCAGACAAATAGTTGTCCAATTTCTTCTTAAACACCTTCAGTGTTGGACCATCCACAACTTCTGGAAGCAAGTTATGCCACTGATTAATTGTTCTAACTGTCAGGAATTTTTTCCTTATTTCTAGGTTGATTCTCTCCTTGATTAGTTTCCACCTATTGCTTCTTTCCTGCCTTCAGATGCTTTGGAGAATAAGTCAACTCCCTCATCTTTGTGACAGCCCCTTGGATATTGGAACACTTATCATGTCACCCCTAGTCCTTTTCAAGAAACTAGATATACCCAATTCCTGCAACTATTCTTCAAATGTTTTAGCTTCCAGTCCCCTAACCATATTTGTTACTCTTTTCTGCACTCTTTCTAGAGCAGTGGTTCTCAACCTTTTTAATGCCGCGACCCCCAACTGGTCGTAAGTCAAGGACTACTCAACCGGTCTTAAGTCGAGGACTACTCAACCGGTGCAGCACCGTTTGCAGAATGGGACTTTTAGCTGGCTCAGCAGGGCAGAGACAGCCTGGATAATTCCTATTGGCTTTTGAAAGCCAATAGAATTAGACTCTATTCAAGAGAGTCTATTCTATTGGCTTTCAAAAGCCAGTAGAATAAAAGGGAGTAGCACAGCTAAGGAAAAGGGGGAAAAAATGGCGGACTGCATTGTTTGGTGACCCCTGTGAAATGGTCATTCGACCCCAAATGGGGTCCCGACCCACAGTTTGAGAACCACTATTCTAGAGTCTCAACATCTTTTTTATAATGTGCCGACCAAAACTGGATGCAATATTCCAATTGTGGTCTTGCCAAGGCATTATAAAGTGGTATTAACACTACACATGATCTTGATTTTATCGTTCTGTTAATGCAGCCTAGGATTGTGTTGGCTTTTTTGGCAGCTGCAGCACACTGCTGGCTTATATTTAAGTAATTATCCACTAGGACTGCAAGATCCCTCTCATACTACTGTTGAGCCAGGTACACCTATTCTATACTTGTGCATTTGATTTTTCTTGACTAAAACCTTACTTTTCTCTACATTGAATTTCATTTTGTTAGACAGAGCCTAATATTCAATTCTGTCAAAATCCTTCTGTTTATTGAGCTTCTGGAGTGTTGGTTATTCCTGCCAGCTTGGTATCAGCTATTCCCTTTTTCCCCTCATCTAAGTATTTGATGAAGATATTGAAGAGTAGTGGGCTATTTATTTGTTAGGATTTAAGTGTTTTAATGCTGGAAAGCATCTAGAGATGCTTTCTATGGGATGGGTGGGCAAATAAATTAAATAAGCAATTTTAGCATATTCTATATGTACAGGGCAACAGTCATAAAGAATAATACTTTATGATATTTTGAATATATAATCACATATGCTAATCAGAATACCACAAATCATTGTCAGTTTCTTTCTTTTATATATATACACACACTAAAAAAAGATAACAATTAATTTCTATAATTCCATAATCCACATAGTAGCTTTCCTTGATTTTTTCTTCTTCCAATAATATTCTCTTTTATCAACCTTGAATTAGTACATTTCTTAGTATTTTGATAGATAACAATTGAATATAAACATTTTTCTAGTATTTCTACAAGTAACAACCATATCAATATAAAGCTTCTTTTCTAATTTTCTAATCTAATTTTCTAAAGATGTTTTCTAAAATATCTTCATCAATGATTTGGGTGAGGGGATAGATGGAGAACTCATCAAATTTGCAGACGACACCAAGCTGGAAGGAATAGCCAACACTCCAGAAGACAGGCTTAGGATACAGGAGGATCTGACAGACTTGAACACTGGGCACTATCTAACAAAATGAAATTCAATGATGAAAAAAATAAAGTTCTACATTAGCAAGAAAAACCAAATACACAGGTATAGGATAGGTGGTATCTTGCTCATAGTAGCAACTGTGAGAGGGATCTTGGAGTCTTAGTGGACAATCATTTAAATATGAGCCAGCAGTGTGCTGCAGCTGCCAAAAAAGCCAACACAGTGATAGGCTGCATTAACGAGTAGAATCAAGATTACGTGAAGTGTTAATACCACTTTACAATGCCTTGGTAAAGCCACACTTAATAATAGTAAAGTTGGAAGGTACCTTGGAGGTCATCTAGTCCAACCCCCTGCTCAGGCAGGAAACCCTATACCATTTCAGACAAATGGCTGTCTTAATAACTTCCAGTGTTGGAGCATTCACCGCTTCTGGAGGCAGGTTGTTCCACTGGTTAATTGTATCCAGTTTTGATCATCACAGTGTAAAAAAAGATGTTGAGACTCTAGAAAGAGTACAGAGAAGAACAACAAAAATGATAGGGGACTGGAGGCTAAAACATATAAGGCAGTGGTTCTCAACCTTTTTAATGCCGTGACCCCCAACCGGTCGTAAGTCGAGGACTACTCAACCGGTCGTAAGTCAAGGACTACTCAACTGGTGCAGCACCGTTTGCAGAATGGGACTTTTGGTGGGCTCAGCAGGGCAGAGGCAGCCTGGACAATTCCTATTGGCTTTTGAAAGCCAATAGAATTAGACTCTAGTCAAGAGAATCTATTCTATTGGCTTTCAAAAGCCAATAGAATAAAAGGAAGTAGCACAGCTAAGGAAAAGGGGGGGGGGAATGGCGGACTGCGTTGTTTGGCGACCCCCGTGAAATGGTCGTTCGACCCCAAATGGGATCCCGACCCACAGGTTGAGAACCACTGATTTAAGGAATGGTTGCTGGAATTGGGTATGTCTAGTTTAATGAAGAGAAGGACGAGGGGTGACATAATAGCAGTGTTCCAATATCTCGGGCTGCAACATAGACCAGAAAATAAAGCTATCCTCCAAAGTGCCTGAAGGCAGGACAAGAAGCAATGGATGGAAACTAACCAAAGAGAGAAGCAACCTAGAACTAAGGAGAAATTTCCTGGCAGTCAGAACAACTAATCAATGGTACAACCTGCGTCCAGAAGCTGTGAATGCTCCAACACTGGAAGTTTTTAAGAGACTGGACAGCCATTTGTCTGAAATGGTATAGGGTTTCCTGCCTGAGCAAGGGGTTGGACTAGATGACCTCCAAGGTCCCTTCCAACTTTATTATTATTATTAATTGATCATCTTAATTACTTTGTCATAAATCCTGTTTTCAAAGTTCTTATTTAGATTTGTTTTCCCCGCAATGTTCAAAACATTCTTACCAGTTAAGATTTTCCCAGAGTTAATTACACTTAAATAGAGTTTAAGGCACTGTTAAAGTTTAATTTTTGTGTTCTCTCAATTGTCAGTAATTTACCAAAATAGGAGATGGATATTGAATACTGACTACTAGTAAATATGAAAAGAATATCTGGTTTGTAAAGCATCAGAAACTAAATATGGGCTTGATGTAATTTAGAGACCTCCTATGTGGCCTACTGCAGGTATTCATTTATCACCAATTCTTCTGTATCACCATCTCTATATTTTGCTCATGCTGCATCACACCAGGGATTCCCTGGTGTTCACAAGCCTGGTTCCTAACATGGCTGCACTCTAAGCAATCCCCCATACGGAAGCGTCACAGCCTGTCAAGAGCCTGATCTGTGCTGGAGGAATGTCCACATGAAGAATGTGCTTTTTCCAAGATTGATCATGATTGTTATAGTGAAAGCCTTATTTATTTTTATTTAATTTATTTACTTGTATCCTGCCTTTATTATTTTTACAAAAAACTCAAGGCAGAAAACATATCCAACATACCTTCTTTCTCCCGTTTTCCCCACAACAACGACAGACCTGTGAGATGGGTTGGCCTTAGAGAGAGTGACTGATTGAAAGACACCTAACTGGCTTTCATTGGCTTACACATGACTTGAACTCACAATCTCTGGCTTTCTTGCCTGGTGCCTTAATCACTAGACCAAACTGTTATCTGTGCAATGTCAGAGCTACCTCCTGGCAGTATATGTTCAAAAGGTTGCCCACCTTTAATAAAGACAAATTGAAGCAGTTTCTGAGAACGGTAACAAGGTTGGTTAAAGGCATAGAAAAAGGTTCTTTGAGCAAGCTATTGAAGAAGGGACTAACTGGAGACAAAAAAAATACTATGAAGGACTATCAGCGTACTAGATCTAATCTGAACAGGAACAGAGTAGATTACAATTTATGAGTGGAAAAAAATCTTGACAATGAGAAAAGTTCAACACCAAATACAGAGGTGGTGGGCTGTTCCCCCCCTCTGGAGTCTTGTGGTGACATCTGATGCAGAATTGTGAAAGAACATTCTTTGCAATGGTCTGATTATACAAGAATGTCTGTACAGAGCATGAGGTCGGATAAATAGCTTCAGGGGAATGTCTAGTCCTATAATTCTACATTTTAGTTCATCTAAAATTAACTTGGTATAGAAGTAGCACAAGGCACCTATTCCCCCCTCAAGCTTTTTTCCTGGACTTTTACCATCTTGCGTGACAAAGATGTCTTGAAAAGCTTGTGTGAGTGAGCAATTGGTCTATT